GTCCCCTCTGACCCCGCTGAGGGTAGTGACTCTCCTCCAGGCCTTCAACCTGCCCGCGATCATGGTCAGCCGGGTGAGGAACAAACCCGTTTACTCACATTGCCTTCATTGATGTAGCACCTGCAACGCCCCCCAGGAACCTCCTCAAACCCGTTCGCAGCCACTGCAGGTTTGGTCACAGCTGTGGATTTTAGAAACCTGGCACAGCAAGATCCCACTATAGGCACCGCAGCAATCAACCCACAGGCCATCTGCGCTGACCCTCCGGCAGTGCCCCTCTCCCTCGGCGCTGACCCTCCGGCAGTGCCCCTCTCCCTCGGCGCTGACCCTCCGGCAGTGCCCCTCTCCCTCGGCGCTGACCCTCCGGCAGCGCGGCTCTCCCTCGGCGCTGACCCTCCGGCAGTGCCCCTCTCCCTCGGCGCTGACCCTCCGGCAGCGCGGCTCTCCCTCGGCGCTGACCCTCCGGCAGTGCCCCTCTCCCTCGGCGCTGACCCTCCGGCAGCGCGGCTCTCCCTCGGCGCTGACCCTCCGACAGTAGATGGGTGGATATTGTGGGTGGTGATTCAGAGTTAAGGTTCCCCTCATGTCTCTGTTTCTCCTGTTGCAGCTCTTGCAGATTCTGACCAACTACAGGAATGGCCACACAGGCCAGCTGTCTGCGATCACAGTCTTCCTCCTGTTCGGGGGCTCCCTTGCAAGAATCTTCACCTCTGTGCAGGTCAGTTTGTTGCTGTTTCATACCCTGCTGCCCATCAAAAAACCAGACACCTCTCTGTACCCCTTGCCATCGCCCCTCAGGCCTGTGACCTTCGAACTTTGTAGGCCCATCCCACCCCTCGGTGACAGAGGGACCGAAGCAGAGCTGAAAGGGCGGTTTCATCTCCTGCCAACATTTCCCCTCCCTCCGAGCTCTCCTGCCCACTACCCACCCAGGTACAATCTCTGTTCCTTGCAGAGCATAGAACTTTGCAGCAGACAAAACCTTGTATCCTTCGCTGTGTTCATCGTAGAATCCCTACAGTGTGGAAATCAGGCCATTCGGCCAAACAAGTCCACACCGCCCCCCCAAAGAGCATCCCACCCAGACCATTCCCCTAACCCTTTTCCTGTATGTCTAATCCACCCTAACCCGCACATCCCTGGGCACTACGGGACAATTTAGCACGGCCAATCCACCCTAACCTGCACATCCCTGG